TTCACTATCACTGCTTTGGGTGATGCGTCTGTAAAGATGTCTTTGATGTGCAAATCCCGTAGTGTTTCGCCTATATTTCCTTCTATGTATTTTATGGTTTCAGGTCTTATGTCTAGTTCTTTAATCCATTTTGAGTTGATTTTTGTGTATGGTGTGAGGTAGTGGTCAAGCTTCATTCTTTTGCATGTAGCGACCCAGTTTTCCCTGCACCATTTATTGAACAAACTTTCTTTGCTCCAATGCATAGTCTTTGCTCCTTTGTCAAAGATTAGTTGTCCATAAATCTGTGGGTTTATTTCTGGATTTTCTATTCGATTCCATTGGTCTATATGTCTGTTCTTGTTCCAATACCATGCAGTTTTGATGATTATGGCTTTGTAGTATAGTTTGAAGTCTGGGAGTGTGATGCCTCCATTTCCTTCTTTTTTTTTCAGTAGAGCTTTGGCTATTCGGGGTTTTTGGTGATTCCATATGAATTTCATCAATAATTGTTCTATTTCTTTGAAGAATGCCATTGAGATTTTGATTGGAATAGCATTGAATCTGTATATTGCTTTTGGTAGGATGGCCATTTTAATAATGTTTATTCTTCCAATCCATGAGCAGGGGATGTCTTTCCATTTCTTTGTGTCTTCTTCTATTTCTTTTAACAGTGTTTTATAGTTTTCTTTGTATAGGTCCTTTACCTCTTTTGTTAGATTTATTCCCAAATATTTGATTTTTTTGTTTCGATAATAAAAGGGGTGGTTTTTTTGATTTCTTCTTCTTCAGATTTATTGTTTGTGTATAGGAAGGCTACTGACTTTTGCATGTTGATTTTGTATCCTGCCACTTTACTGAATTGATTGATCAATCTATTCTTTTTATTTCTGCTGTGTCTGTTGTGATTTCTCCTCTTTCATTTCTGATCCTGTTTATTTGTGCTTTCTACCTTTTTTCCTTTGTGAGCCTGGCTAGGGGTTTGTCTATTTTATTGATTTTTTGGAAGAACCAGCTCTTGGTTTCATTAATCTTTTGGATTGTTTTTTTAGTTTCAATTTCATTTATTTCTGCTTTGGTTTTTATTATTTCTTTTCTTCTACTGGTTTTGGGGTTTTTTTGTTGTTCTTTTTCTAGATCTTTGAGCTTCAAGATTAGGTTGTTTCTTTGAGTTTTTTTCTTGTTTCTTGATGTGAGCTTCTATTGCTATATATTTTCCTCTTATTACTGCTTTTGCTGCGTCCCATACATTTAGGATATTGGTGTCCTCCTTGTCATTCAATTCAAAGAATTTTTTAATTTCCTCTTTGATCTCCTCATTAGTCCAGTGGTCTTCTAGTAGTGTGGTTTTTAGTCTCCATGAGGTAGGAAAGTTCCTTGCCTTCTTTTTATGGTTTATTTCTAGCTTGATGCCTTCATGGTCAGAAAAGATGGTTGGTATGATTTCAATCTTGGTGTATCTGTTGATGTTTGTCTTGTGCCCCAGTATGTGATCGATCCTGGAGAATGATCCGTGTGCGCTTGAGAAAAATGTGTACTCCGTTTTTTCGGGGGTTTAGTGTTCTATAGATATCTGTTAAGCCCAAATGCTCTAAGTCCTTATTTAGAGCTTTAGTTTCTTTACTTATTTTTTGTCTTGTTGATCTATCCATTGTTGATAGTGGTGTGTTGAAGTCTCCCACTACATATGTGTTTTCTCTGATGTCTGTTTTCAGAGATGACAACAGCTGTCTGATATATTTTGGTGCTCCTTCGTTTGGTGAGTATATGTTAATTAGTGTTATTTCTTCTTGAAGTATTGTCCCTTTGATCATAATGTAGTGACCGTTGGGATCCCTTTTTATTTTTTAAGTTTGAAATCTGTTTTATCTGATATAAGTATAGCTGTTCCTGCTTTCTTTTTTGGTCCATTTGCTTGTAGGATTGTTTTCCATCCTTTAACTTTGAGTCTATTTTTATCTTTTGTAGCTAAATGTGTTTCCTGGAGACAGCAAAAGGTTGGGTTTTGTTTCTTAATCCAGGCTGCCACTCTGTGTCTTTTTATTGAAGAGTTTAGTCCATTTCCATTTAGGGTTAATATTGATATGTTAGCATCTGTATTTGCCATTGTGTTTGTCTTTCCTTTGATTTTATTTATTCTTTTAATATCTTTTTTTTTCCTTGCCTTCTTTCGTTGTTATTCGTCCCTCTGAGGTTCTGGCTTTAGGATTCCTTGTAGTATTTTTTGGAGTGGGGGTTTATTGGTAATGAAGTTCCATAGTTTCTGTTTGTCTGGGAAGGTCCTTATTCTTTCTTCATAGAGGAAGGAAAGCTTTGCAGGATAGAGTATTCTTGGTTGGCATCTGTTTTCTTGGAGTCTGTTGACTATGTCCTTCCACTCTCTCCTTGCCCGTAGTGTTTCTTCAGAGAAGTCCGATGTCAGCCTGATTGGTTTTCCTTTGAATATTATCTGTTTCTTCCCTCTTGCCAGCTTCATTATTTTTTCCTTGTCCTGGATTCTTGGGAGCTTTACTATTATGTGTCTTGCTGTATTTTTCCTTTCGTCATGGAAGTTTTTTGTGTTCTTCTTGCTTCTTGTATATCAATTTTCAGCTCCTTCTTCACATTTGGGAAGTTCTCTTCAATTATCTCCTGGAATATTTTCTCTGTTCCTACATCTCTCTCCTCTCCTTCTGGAATTCCTATAACTCTTATATTTCCTTTCCTCATGGAGTCAGATAGTTCCCGAAGTCTTTCTTCGTTCTTTTTCCTTTGTCCTTCTCTTTCCTTTTCTGTTTTGGTTCTTTTTATTTCTGTGTCTTCAAGAGAACTTATTCGTTCTTCCATTTATCTATTCTGCTTTCATTGCTTTTCCCAGAATTCTTTAGTTCTTCCATTAATTTTTTGATCTCCTGCATTTCTTTTACTTCCCTCTTTAGGGACTCAATTTCATTCTTCTGATCGTTGATTATTTTTCCCTTATCATTGTTTTCCTTTATGAGTTCTGTCATTTTTTCAATCATGGCAATTTTAAATTCTCTTTCTGGAAGGTTCAGAAGTTCTTCCAAGTTACTGTCGTTGCAATCTGGGGGCTGGTTTTCTTTTTGTGGTGTGCTTCTTCCCTGAGGAGTTGCTATGTTGCGTGTGGTTCTTCTATTCCTTACTGTCTGTTTTCTAATTTGCCGTATGCATTGGGACACTGTGTTGCTGGGACTGGCTGGCATCTTGGGTGAGCTTCTCTGCTCCCCTCTGGCTCCTCCGGGAGCCATCTGTCAGTTTCAAGCAGTCTTTACTGAAGAAAGGTCCCTGTTCTAAAATGCCGATGTGGGGACACACTCCCCTGTGCTCCTGGTCTGCCCCGGCAGTGGGTTCCCTCTCCCCCTCTGGGCTTGGACTGCAGGCCAGAGGTGTTCTGGTGTGGGCGAACTTCCCCGGCTCACCTCTGGCACCTGAGGGAGCCTTCTGCAGGCAGTCTTTACTGAAGAAATGTCCCTGTTCTAAAATGGCGATGCGGGACACACTCCCTGTGTGTCCAGTCTCAGGCACACTCTTCTGCGCGCCTGGTCTACCCAGGCTTTGGGTACTCGCTCCCCCTGTGGGCTCAGACTACTGGTCGGCAGGGGCCTGGTGTGGGCTAACTTCCCAGCTGGCCACTGGCTCCTCCAGGAGCCTCTGCTGGTTTCAAGTCTCTAGGTGGCGCCAGAGATCTCTCCTAGAGCCCTTGGGGAGCTGTTTTTTTTTTTTTTTTTTTCACCCCGTGGGACAGGAAACAGAGCGGGAATGGTAGGGTAAACCTCAATGGCTTTGGGGTGCTGTGTCTGCCTTGTGCCCCACCGTCTTGGAGAACCCACGCCCTGAATTTTGTGCCCCGGATCTCAGTTCCAAAGCCCTCAGGTCCAGGACGTGGGCTGTAGCCCAGTTCAGTGTCCACAGAATGGTGTCTTTTGCACCCCGCTCCCGTGCCTGGGTGCCTGGTTCCTGGATACTCAGTGAGGGACTTTCACCTCAGTGAGGGTCTTTGCGTGCATCTCCCTGCAAGCCTAGGTCACAGGCGCAGAGACCTGGGCAGCCGCGATCCCAATCCGCGTTTGCTTTTCAACCGTGATGCTTTTCCGCGCTATCCCGATCCTGATCCGCGTTTGCTTTTCCAGCACGCCGCTTTTCTGAGCAAGCTTACTGGGCGGCCGGGGCTGTGTGCTGGTCCTGGCCTCCTCCTGGGGGGCGGGGTCTCTGTTTAATGGCGCCCGGAGCTCACCTCCGTGGCGAATCCTGCTGGGTTCTCCACAGCTCCCGTTCACGGGGTGTGGTGGCTGCAATAGTTCCTTTCCACTCACAGTCCCGCTTGCTGCGTAGTTTGTTCTTGTTGGTCGTTTTGGTTTGTTTTTTTCCTCCTCTCTGCTGGTCGGAGAGTGCCGACTCTGTGGGTGGGGGAGGGGAGCAGGGTTCTGCGCTTTCCTCCCTTCTAGTCCTCTTTTATGGCAACTTTCTTCTTCGGGTAGTTTGCTGGAGTCACCCGTTTATCTTCCGTGTCCCAGTTCTCACTGGGACCTGCCGCTTTTCCTCCCTATTAACTTTTTTTAATGGGAGATCTTACTCGCAGCGTCTCCTCGCTGCCATGTTGCTCCGCCCTTGATTCCTGCTATTTTCTCTTACACACTTCTGCTTACATGGACTTGGGAGAGTGGGTATGCAATTTTACCTGCTATTTTTTATATGATCAACAGGAAACATGCCTCTTATTATGTAGCATATCTGCTATGTGTACATATATAAATCTGAATACACATATAAATTTCAGTACACACCATATGCACATATGAAATTTAAAACAGTTTGAAACTATTGGTCCTTTTATACTTAAATATATGAGTCAGCTCACTATGCTTATAATAAAAGTTCACTAAGTTATTCAGCCTTAACTAGTCCCTTGGTGATTATCGGAAGGATTACTACCATTACTTTGCTGTGTAAATTTATGTTCTTTTTAAACGTAAATTCAGTAAATTCTTTTTAAAACATGAAAAAAATTTATCGTTCTCCAGATATCCTATTGTATGACATCTAGAAAGGAAAAGCTGTTTATAGTAATTGTTCATGGCAACAAAGTCAAAGTAAAGAATTTGACTCCAGGTGTGAACTACATGTTTGAAGTGAAGACAGTTAAAGGCGAAGATTACAGTATATCTGTAATGAAAAATGTGACTACAAGTAAGGAAATATAAATGAAAATCTGTGCTTTAAGGTTTTGTAAGAATTGAAACTATTTTGGCTTAGATGATTAAAGCTATTTTAAAATATATGATAATTAAGGTATACTGACCAAGGGAACTCTCAAGGTATATGAGAGTAAAAAACTGGCTTTGCATGTCTAAATGTATTTTTTATTAATCTAAAACCAACCTGTATGTGTATACATACACAAATTTTGCATATGTAATTTATGTACTAATATATGTGGATGTGCACGTATGTATATCATACCTGTATCTATAATGCCATAGTGATATAAACACAATTCATTTTCTGCTGACATGATTATAGAGAATTCATATCTTTCATCCCCAATGTTTGCAAAATCATTATAATCAATTTCATAGTGTTTTGGGATAGGATGGAGTAATAGTATTTGTTACCAACAATTTTTATGAAAGTGTATCTGGTCTACATAATTTCTTTTCAGTGGAGACCAAATGGTAATGCAAGAGACAAAATTATATCCATAGATAGATTGAAAATACTGTGATATAGGAATGCTAAAAACGTTGACGTAATAAGAACTACATTTGAAAGTCCCTTTACTTCTGTTTCTCACTTCCTAATTACTTGTTCTGTTTCATCCCCATTCAACACCTAGATAACTACCAGATTGTAGTTAATAAACTTTGATTATATTGTGTCAGGAAACCTCTGATTGTGAGCAATCAGGAGGCACCAGACCAAATGAATGACTACTGGGCATGGTTTATAATTGGCTGAGGAATGAATGCTATTTGGGAACTAGAGAGCTCGTTATTGTTCCATGTAAATTAAAATTCATACATGCAATATTCTGTTTCTCTATGTATGTGCTATAAATTATAAGTGAAATGATTATTGCCTATACATTTAAATTATATTATTCATGTTTGCTTAATTTTTATATATATGTGCAATTTTTATTTATATGCCATTAACCTTTTCAATAGAGCCATCTAAGATATGTGATTTATTATTAAAAGCTGTGACTACTTCTGCAAATTTGATGTGGAATCCAACAGAGACCAATTTCACTCATTACAAGATTTTGATGTCAAACAGAACTTTTGTAAAAGAATATCTCATTTGGGGAATGATGATTGAGCACACAATTACAGATCTGACTTCTGGTGGAATATATAACATCACAATGGCACATAGAATGAGAAGCAATGTTGAAGGCTGTGGCACATTTATCAGTATTACAGGTATGCAAATTCTGATATTTTAAAAGTTCATATTTGTACTGTTCAAGAAAAATTTCAGTGCATTTTGAAATTTGAAATACAGACTATATTTAGAATATTTCAAAAGGTAAAAATAATCAATTTACTGGAATATTCTGAGAATTTTTGTGATGATATGGGTAAAATATAATTGGAAATCTGGCATGTAGTGCTCAATAAATGTAGTTAATATTATACTTAGTTTTGTAGCAATTTAAAGGTCCAGCAAGCAAAACTAGGTGGCAGATTTGGGGATAATCCAAAGTTTTAGTATTCTCATAAACTTGTCCCTTATTTTTGATGTCCTACTATGTGTTATATACATACTGACATGAAGAAGCATAGTTTTAGGATGTGCAAAGAGTAATAAAGAACAGAAATATGAACATACAAATAGTATGGGCTAAATTAATAGATGGGCCAATAGAAATGACTTTTGGTTATAAAGAAAAGGGAATGTTGAACTCTATGGCATAGATGGATGAAGTAATGCATGTAAAAAATGGAGAGTGTCCGCAACATGGATGGCACTAGAAGGGATCATGCTCAGCGAAATAAGCCAGAAAAAAAAAGAAAAATACCGGATGGTCTCACTCATAGCAGGAATCTAGAAAACTTAAATAAGGGACCAGGAAAAAGAATAAATATAAGAAAGAAAATATCAAAATCAACAAACAACTATGAACAAGAGACACTCTATGGGGGTGGGGGGTGGGGAGGGGAGGGATTGGGGTCAAAATAAGGGGGTTGCAATTGTATGGGGAATATAAAAATAAAATTTATTTAAAAAAAAAAAGAAATTCTAAAAGAGTGAAAAAAAAATGGAGAGTGTCCTAATCTTAAGGGCAAGTAAGGTGTGTGGAAAGGAGGACTCAAAGAGCAAGGGAACAGCCTATGCAAATTTGTGTGGTGTAAATGAATATAGTATATTAGTGAAACTATAAGTGACTTAAAATTGCAAGATTTTATTGTTTTTATGTGAGACCAAAATCCTCTTTTTTTTTTAAGATTTATTTTATTATACAAGAACCAGGGTACAGGCCAGATGCGTGGGAGGATGTGAGGATTCACTAGAGACAGAGCAGGGAACAGAACAGGCAGACTGACGAAATATACTGCTGAGGGGAGCAGCGGGCGGGACAGGAGAGGCCTCGCCATGTGGGATTCTTGCTGGTCAGCCGGAATTGAACCCATGTTGCAGAGGCTGCTGACAACCCCACAGCATGGCGATCAACAGCCTGAGCCACCAGGGAGGCTCCAAAATCCTCTTCTTAATAATATACAGGATTATCTTAAAATGCAATTGGAGTTATGATACCTATCAACATTTTAAATTTTTCAAAAGAACAACATTGCAACAGTACCTCATGAGATTATTCTTAAGTGATCTTTAAAGCTACAGATTTGACATATGATCCAAAACAGACAAGTAATGGTAATCAGTCCATGGACAATTATTATGTGGCTGTTACACATTGTATTAGTTTGTATTAGTTTCTTTTTGCTGCTATAACAAATTGCCACAAGCTTAGTACCTTAAAACAAATTTATTATAGTTCTATACTAGTAAGTCTCACATAGATGTCAGCAGGCTATAATCAAGGCGTTGCTTTCTTTAAGGTCTAGGGGAGAATCCATTTCTTTGATCCTGCTAGTAGCTTGAAGAATTCCATTCAGCTGTGGTACTGAGGTAACCACATATTTTTGTTGTTGTTGGCTTTCTGCTGAGCTTTGTCCCCAGCTTCTAGAGGATACTTGTGATTTTCTTCTTCCTGTCTTCCAAGCCAACAAAAGAAGGTTGAGTTGCACTCATGTTTCAACTCTCTCCTGCATTTTTTCCCTATTATATCTGACTCCTCTAACATGGAAGATACACAAAATCCGTGGTCATATTGATTGAAAAAGAGAACACTTTATCAAATAGTAGCAACTTGGGGTTCTAGATGCATAGCATGGTGAAGGTGATAGTTTTGAAATATTAGGGGTAGGTAATGGAAGCCAATGTAGAGGAAAGCAGTGATTTAGGAGATAAATTGATAAGGATAACATGGAAAGGATGGTGAGCCAGGCTTCCTGATGGAGGTCTGTGGAGCAGAAATAAATTTTTTCTGCTCATTTTTTATAAAGACGTGTCGTGATAATGAGATAATACCAGGGGGCTCCTTTTGAGCTAACCCATATGAGTCAGGGACTCAAACTAAGAGATGATACTTTTACTAAGAGATGACCAGAATTGATGAGGATTGATGGCAGAAATAATTGTTAATCATAGCTTACATTTGCTGAGCTCTTACTATTTTCAAGCACTTTTCTTTTTAAAGATTTGTTTATTTATACATACAAGAACTGGGGTATAGGCCAGAGATGTAGGGGATGAGAGGACTCACCAGAGACAGAGTGGGGAGCAGAATAGGCAGACTGACCAAAATACACTGCTGAGGGGAGTAGCAGGTGAGACAGGAGAGGTCTGCCTCACCATGTGGGTTTCTGTGTGGCTGGCCAGGTATCAAACTCATGCTGCAGAGGCTGTGGGTTGCTTCATAGTGCAGTGTTTAACCCCTTGTGCCACCAGGGAGGCCCTCAAGCAGTTTTCTAAGCACTTTACATCTATTAACTTATTTTATTCTCACAACAATGTGTGGTTTAGAGGTGATTATTCAGATATTGATGAGGCTAGTGAGGTATAGAAAGGTTAAAGGTTTTGCTTAAGTCTTATTTAAATGTCATAGCCAGGATTTGAATCCATTAAGCCATTTTCAGGGCTTATGATTAGTGCTTGCACTAAAAGTTGTTTAGACACTTGTGGCACCCAATATGATACTGACTTATTGGAGAGTGTTTATTTTATTTATAATTTATATCTAGCCCACTTCCAATATATGAAGAAGCAATAGGCACATGAAAAATATAAGTTGCTTTGATATTGGACACATATAGATGGAGTCCCTTAAAATTAAACTGGTGTCACTTGAAATAGCAGTCTTAGATTTGAAGAGGATTTTTAGATTTATTTTGGATTTTTTGATCTATTATTTATAAGCCACCTTGTGAACTTTGGAGGGGTGCCATTATCTTAATGATTGAACTTTGACTCTGAAACTATTATTCTTGGCTGTAATCTTGCCTCTTATTATTCACCTACTAGCTTTGAGAGTTTGAAGTTACCTCACTCTGTTCCTCACTTTTTCCACTTTTAAATGGTGATAATACTAATTTCTACTTATAAATTTGTCTGACTGTTGCATAAAATAATGTGTAAAAGTGCTTACTACAATGCACAAGGCCAGAAAGACTTATTATTTTGCATGTCTCCTACATGTGTGTCTGTCTCATCAGTTATAGTTTATATTATACTCAATCTACAGTTCAGTTTAATCATAGAAAGATCCAATTGTGATAGTCAAAGCTTATCATCTATAGTGCTGGTACATAGAAGGAGCAAATAAAGTTAATAATAATTAATCTTTTTTAAAAAAGATTTATTTATTTATGCATATAAGAACTGGGGTGAAGCCAGAGGTGCAGAGTGTGAGAGGATTCACTAGAGAGAGAGGGGAGCAGAACAGGCAGGTCTACTGAAATACACTGCTGAGGGGAGCAGTGGGCGAGGCAGGAGTGGTCTGCTGCGCCATGAGTGTTGTTCCTTGGCCAGCCGGGGATCAAATTCTGCTGCAGTGGCTGGCGATAGCTTAACAATGCTGTCTTTAACCCCTGAGCCACCAAGGAGGCCCACTCAATGAATCTTTTTAATTCATTTCATTTTATTTTAAAATAACTGTCCATTGTAGGTTTTTCTCTTCTTGATACTGTTTCGGCGGTTTGCGCAACTACTTTGTGGATATTCCAGGGTATGTGACATTTTGATCTCATGTTGTATGTACCCTTTTAAAAGTCAGCATCTATCAAGGAACTCTGCCAGAACTTCCTCTTCTAATTTGAATCTTTTCTAACACTCTTCTTCAAAGGTAAAAGTCCCATGCTTTATATTAGAATTTTGTTTCTGAGATTCTCTTTTGAGCTGGTTTTCTTTATCAATGACGGGTTCATATTTCTCTTTTTCTTCCATTTTCTCCAAATGAAATTTAGGTAAATTTACTGAAATTCCAAGGAGACAAGTTGAGAGAATCTCTTGAGCTACATTGTCTAGTATGTAGTAATGAGTAACTTGAGACTGTTGAGACACGAAATGTGGCTAGACCAAATTTTGATGGGCTGTGGGTGAGAATGACACTTGGGGTTTTAAGCAGTTAATGTGAAACAAGTGATGATTTAATGACTAATTTTATATTGATTTATATGTGGAATGTTTTTTTAATCTATCAGATTACATAAAATATATTATTAAAATTAAATAACAGACCTCCCTGGTGGCCTAGAAGTTAAGTCTCAGCACTGTCACCACTACGACCTGAGTTCAATCCCCAGCCAGGGAGCTAACCCACTTATGGTGCAGCAGACCTTTCCTGTCTCTCGCCTGCTGCTCCCCTCAGCAGTGTATTTCAGCTGGTCAGCCTATTCTGTTCCCCGTTCTATGTCTGGTGAATCATCGGATGCTCTGCACCTTTGGCCTACACCCCAGTTCCTCTATGCAAAAATAAATAAATCTTGGGCCTCCCTGGTGGCTCAAGGGTTAAGACTCAACCTATGAAAATAAATAAAATTAAATTTACATGATTCTTTCACCTTTTTAGTGTCACTCACATTGTATTTTTATTGGACAGTGGTGCTTTAGAAAATAACAGGGTGAATATTTAAGCATAGTTGAGATTCAGAGAGATCCTGTAATAGTTGTGTGGCAAAGTGATTTAATCACAGGCCATTTATTAAACTCTAAGGATTTAAAGTTCTAAGGATTTACTTTTGGAAATTCTGGTGCAAAAATATTTAGAATTCCTTTTGGTAGCCTTTAATTAAATTGAACACAGTGTGCTATTTTTTTCTGTTAGAATTCAATGTCAAACATATCCACTTCATGATCTAATACAATTTGGTTATTATCAGTTAGACTGAGAATGATATTTTTCCTTCATATTTTCCTACCTTTTCAAAGATATAGAGATTGAATTCCATTGAGCATAAATCATGTACTAATTGTGGAGTCTATTTCTAGCTAATTGAATCTTCCAACTCACATTCAGGAAACTGCACTCTTTCGCTCCTAAATATTCCTCTATCTCAATTACCTTCTTCTGAGGGCAACCCACCCTCCTCTGTCCCCAAACTACCACAATATCCTCACATGCTCATTTTTGTCTTTCTCTAATTCATATTCCATATCCCAGAGTAATCTTTTAAAATAATAAAAAAGAAAGTTAGATTGCTTTTCTGCTTAAACTTCTTTTTTTTTTTTTTTAAGATTTACGTATATAAGAGCTGGGGTACAGGCCAGATGCACGGGAGGGTGAGAGGATTCACCAGAGACAGAGCGAGGAACAGAACAGGCAGACTGATGAAATACACTGCTGAGGGGAGCAGCGGGCAAGACAGGAGAGGTCTGCTGTGCATGCTTAAACTTCTTTAGTGCTTTCTGTGGCTTTTAGGGAAAAATTGCAACATCATTGTTATGCTTATCAGACAGTTCTTTCTTACGTGATCCTGAAATCCAGCTAACTTTCCTTAGTTATTGTATATTTTCTCCATAATCAGGACTTCTCTCCACTCTGCTTTTAAAGATCTTTACCAAATTGTCAGGAAGTTTCCAGACCAGACCTTCCTCCTTGATCAGATTGGCAAATTCCCAGACAAATATATTCTTCCTCCTCTTGGTGAGACATGCTTCATCCTTAGCCAAGAGTTCTTCAGTGTGTAATCTTAAACCACGATCTAGAAACTACATCCTATCTCACCAATGTCCTAGTCAGCAGTCCGTTACTTCTCTTAGTTTCCTTTTTCTTGCAAAGTCTCATCCCAGGTTTTTATCAAGTTTCTTGACAAAAATTTCATAGCATGATATTAGTTACTTTCTAGAGCCCTTGTATAAATCAGTGTGTGTAAATAATAGTTGATTATGTCATGTTAGACCTTTGTCTGTCTTAACGTGGGCTGGAAATCAATTTTCTCTCAAACATTAAAATAAAGAGGATATAGGTTATATGCAGGATGATCCAGAAGAAGTGTCAATAGCTGTGTACCACATCACATCTCAAACTGAGTATTTCTACAATCATATATAAACCTGCACTGTTCACTATAAGGACAGTTTGGAGATGGTGCCAAAAAAAAATGTGAGTATTTCTGAGAATTTCATGGTGGAAACTAATGGATCAATATCAGTTTCCAGTAACAGGGAGAAGGTTATAGTAAAAATATTTAACAACTTTTCCGAAGGAGATAAAGAACTGTCCTAAAAGTATATTCTTCACTTAAAAATATACCAAGAAATTGACGTTTTATGTTAAAATTTCTATTTTATGCAGTGTGTCCTCAGTTTTGTTAGGAAATGTATATTTAAAATATATATCCATTTTTAGTCATCTCTCCTGAACGGTGTTTAAATGATAAATGGAGTTCAATGATTATTTCCAGATTCATTTCTTTTGGAAATCACGTTAAATTGGTATGTTTTTCATATGGTTGGCTTCTTAATCTCACTCCCTCTCCCTATATTGTTTGTCTGGAATCTGCTCGAAAGATAAGGCAGAGGGCAAACTTGACTCATTGGCAACCAATCAGAAGAACATTATGTAGAAAACTCCCTTCAAGGAGGAATAGGAAGCATTAACAAAACTTTGGAAACAGTGTATAAAGGTACAAAAAAATAGTTGAAATAGTCAGGACAGCACTTGAATATTTGTATTTAACAATGATAATATTTCATTTGCAATATGAAAACATATTTTCTATTAAAGGAAATATTTAAATTTCCTTCCTGAGCTTAGTATTTATTAGATATACTCACCCTTTAAAAAATTTGGCAGGTTTTGCTTATGTTTTATTCACTTACCTTCTCTCTGGCAATTATCCAGGTAATTGGATAAATCACTTGTACTTACTTTGTTTAAAATTAATTCAGTTACTCAATTTGAGCATAAGCTTCAAACAACCTGTTCAAGCAACATATTTTAAAAGATAAAGAATATCCCAGAAACTGATAAATTGATATATTATTGTTAATAATTATACTTAAAAACTAGATATTTTAAATCTATACTTGCCTAATGCTCTACATATGGTGATCATTTTGAAGACTCAATGTTTAATTTAAAGGTAATTCTAGAAATAATTTAAAAGACTCAGTGCTTTCTAACAGTGATTATTTTGAAACTTGATCCTTAGTCTATTGATTTTCATTTTTCCTTTGAAACTTTAGGAGAATAAGTATTTTAAACCTCTGTTTTTAAATATCAGAACCAGAAAAACCCAAGAAACATGAAGTCTTCACGATTTTTACACATTCCTTTCCCCTTTGCTGGAGCCTGCCCTCTGCCTGTGTAGAAGGGTTTCATGTGGATCTGGTTCCTGACAGTGACTGTGTTACTATCAAAGATCTTGGAGGTGGAGAGTATCAGGTATAGTTTTAACTATCATACTTGCAAACCAACTGGTATTTAAATTTGGTCCTAATAGAAAAGTTCTTTGTGAAACTTACCCTTTGTCAGTTTTTTTAAAAAATAATATGAAGACAAAACACTTATGCTGAATTGATGAATGTAAGTTGCAGCACCCGTGGACTGTTACCTTAGCAACATCTTTGCCTTTTTTTTTTTTTTTTCAAGTCTACCCTGAACTTACTGCCAGCCATCCAAGGGTTCATGAATAGTTTAACAAAGAAAGGGCAGAGCTATTGAGTAATCCAGGCTCATTAATTGTGTACTTGCCAGGAGGATCTGTCTTTAAATCATTAATGCAGGCAACATTTCTCTCTAGAGCCATCAATGTGATTCCACTGGCTGAAAAATGTAATAATGATGGAGTTTCTTATCATTTTTCTTTTACTTTTTATTGGAACTTCAGAGACACAGGTATTTCATATACAGTCTTTATAACCAGGGTTAGACAATGGGGTATAGATTTATTAAGACTAAGTTTATTGTGACTGTGAACTGATAGAAGTACTGATTTAGTCTTTGATAATGCAGTATATTTTATAAATTTTTAGGTAAGTAAATGTGTGGTGAATAAAATATATTTTACAATAAGTGGAACTTGTGTTATTTTAAACAGTGTAGAGTTACATATTGAAGTGTTTTTTTAATTTATTTTTGGTTATGATAGATTTATTATTTTGACTTTCTTTTAGTGTTTTTACACAATTATTTGTTTTGATGTTCTAGGTTGATGTTTCCAATGTTCTTCCTGATACTAGGTATGATGTAACAATTTCTTCCACTTCTGCTACAACATATAGCTCACCTGTTAGCAGAACCATGACAACAAATATAACAAGTAAGTCCGTGTTTTTAATTAGGTTGTTTGGGGTAAGGTATTTGGAATCAATATAAATCTTTTGGATGGAAATACTTATATTGCTGGTGTGTGCACTGAATGATTGAAAGCAGTTTTGTAATTAAAGCAAAATGGAACAAGAAAGTGATCTGTTTAGAACCTGCACTCAACCAGTTCTTTAGCTTCCTTTACTTTTAAAGAGCAAAGATAATTATTCTACATTTGCTTGTGAGATGCACCAGAGACACTGTTACTTAAATAATACAGAGCCATGAAAATAAACTCAAATTTGCTCAGGAAGAATTATTCAGTTTGTAAGACTGTTTCTTGTTTGCTTAGTTTTTGTGTATAAGACTTAATCAAGTAGGTTTCTTTTAAAAATGATTTGGCATCAGAAGTATGTTTGGCATGTGATATTTAGTAGCATTCCATTTTTTACATTCTTATAAAAATGTTTTTGATATTCCCCAAATATTTAATCTTTTTTTTTTTGGGTATCATACCTCTAGGCAGGATAAACTCATTTTTAAGAGTTCATTTATTTTGGGGAGCTTGAAAAGTTTACCAATATGTAACTTTTTTTCCTTAATTAAAGTGTGAAACTACAGTAACTCTTTGAACTTTCAGCAATGTGATTTAATTTATTTTTAAAGAACCAGGGCCTCCAGTTTTCCTAGCAGGAGAAAGAGTTGGATCTGCTGGGATTCTTCTCTCTTGGAATACACCACCTAATCCAAATGGAAGGATTATATCTTACATTGTGAAATATAAGGAAGTTTGTCCATGGATGCAAGCAATGTATACTCAGGTTAGAGCAAAGCCAGACAGTCTGGAAGTTCTTCTTACTAATCTAAATCCTGGAACAACATATGAAATCAAGGTAATTATTTTATCAATAATTACTTAGTATTAAAATAGTCTATCCAATTTTAAAGTGAACTTTGCCCCTGACCTGGCCTAACTTTATAGCTGAACATAGCTAGTGGCTGAAGATCCTTTGAGTCTTAGCCTGAATGCCCCACCCAGGCTTTCAAAACTTGTCCAAACATTGTCATCTTTTTTCATCCTTATGTGTGTGTTTTTTAAATTTATATATTTTAATATTATTGGTGTTTTGATGGTGAGTGGGATATGGTGATGTACATGTGAAAACTTGTGAGTGTGTATCTCTTAATCATATACAGTATTATAAACCAGTGTTACCAGAGTACAAATAATACAATTAAAAAAAGAGAAGCATTTGCTTAGTAACTTTTTCAATGATTCAGGTTTAAATGAAAATAATTAAGGGTGTATAAGAAAAATTCCCACTTTTCCATTAAATTTAAAGTTAGCTTTGTTATTTTTCTTTTAATCCTGTTGTACTTGTACATCTGTTGTCAAAGTTTTGTGTACTGCTTTGAAAAATTTATACTGAGTCAATGTCTCAAAGAGCAATGAATTTAATTCATCTTCACTCAGTAAATATTTCCTGGACATTTATTGTGTCTTTGCATGCATAGAATTATTTTTAGTTCTTTCTAATGTTAAATATATAAAATTTAGCATCTTATTTAAATACTAAATTAAAAAGACCATATAAAGAGCAGTTCTAAATTAGTTAGCCCATGCAACAATGTTTACAGTTAAGAGATAAGATATTTTCAGGGAAGAGTAAAGTGTAGAAATATCTTCTTTTTTCTATTTCCAACAAAGCATCAATACATCCTATAAGTATTGATGATAATTGCATATAGTGAAAAAAATCTATAATAGCTGTGTAAATATGTGGTCATATATAACAAATGACTTTCAAAATGATAAGTGATGGAAAAGAGAGATTTTTGTTTGGGTTTTTTTTTAATTAGAAATATCCCTATTTGTAGAGTCAGAGAAAATAATACAAACTGGAGAGAATATGCAAATTGTAGACATCCTCCAAATAAGAAAAGCAAAAAACCAACCTTTGCTTATGCAAAGGGTTCACAAAACCAAAGGTTTGTGATGACAGCTTCATTAAAGAAACTAGGGTTTAAGTAAAGGCAAAATTCTTCTAACATCTGAACATGACATAGTGCAGGTTGCATCAATACACAAAAATCCAGTTTCATATGTTGAAATATGCTATTGAAGGTAATATGTAACTTTTAATATGATATAGGAAATTATTACTGATGAAAAGGTGACTGAGCCGGCCTCATTCTGCTCCAATCTATTTCTAAGGACTTCGCATTTTTATTCCTTTGAATTTTCTTATTTCAGGCCTATAGGGAAAACTCCTTACACTTTTTTTTATCCCAAGCTTTATAAATCATTGTTGTGACCTTTACATTGTTCAAATGTTAGCCATTGCAGAATTCCCAAGAGTAGTTGCCATGGTACACAGGATATCTTCAAATACAGATATCAAATCTATATTTGGGGAAAATCCTTCTAGGTACTTTACATATGTTATTTCATTTAGTCCTCAGAAAGGTCCTATGGCATAGATATATTATTTATTTCTATTTGAAGAAGAAGGAAAATGTGCTTTAGAGCATTGAAGAAAATTGCCCAAAGCTACTCATTTGGGAATTAGAAGAACTATAATTCTGCTAAGTGAGACCAAGGCTGTCTCACTCCAGTTATGGCATGTGGAAGAGTTCAAAAGTTTTGTTCTCTGTTAGGACAGTTTCTATGCCTATTGTAGTGTATTTAAGTAGACTATTCAAGTCAAAAATAATTTTTTCATCTTTAAAATTGAAAGTGTCTAAATGATTAAGTAGATCTACTTATTTTTAAAATTGTTTTCCTATTTGCCTGATTAGATTGCAAATTCTAATGTTAAATATCATATACATTGTCTCATATCTGTGAAGAAATAACCACATGTCTTTCATAGAGTGATCTTAGTGCAAAGAGATAGGTTGAGCTTTAGAAATAAGCACAACTTTAACGGTTCTACCATTTATTCCTGTGTGACTCTGGGCATATGACTTGACCTCTCTCAACCAGTTTTCTAATCTACAGAGTGTTGACAATAAGGTCTCTTATTTTGATTATCTGGATAAAAGGAGGTGAGTAAAATCCTTAGTAGATTTCCTGGTGCATAAAATCACTTAATAAGTAGTAACTGCTGTTATTAATATTATTATTGAAAGACTATAATGTTTATTAATTGCTTTACTAGGAATCTGAGAAATCTATTGAATCAGACTATGCTGAAAATATACACTAAGGGGAAGTGGGAATATGGAATAATTACTTATTTGCCTTTCATTTTGGGAATAACATAGGAATTAGAGGGGGGAATCATTAACTGATGGACAAGTCAGTGTGGTTCTTCCAGACTCTGTTTAATTAGAGTCAAAGTTTGAGTATAATTGTTTTGGTGTATTCTAGGTTGCTGCTGAAAACAGTGCTGGCATTGGAATATTTAGTGATCCATTTCTCTTCCAAACTGCAGAAAGTGGTAATTTTTCTAAATCATTTATTCTAAATAAACATAGTTTTGAGTTTTTATCATTTAAAACAACTATAGAATATAACAATATCTGACTCCAAAATACATAAAATTTTCAAAAGTGTGACCTTTTAATTTACTTTGAGTCTACATGGATAGTTAATTTATTCATTAATATACACATGTATATATTGTCCTTTCTGATTATAAAAGCAGTATTATTTTAGAAAACTTTTAAAAATGAAAATGAAAAACAGTGGAAATTAGCCATGTCCCCATTATATTATATTCTTGTTACCATTCTGTTACATCTTTATCTGCTCTCCCCTCTCCACCCAATAAACATATGCCTTTGTGACTATGTATTAATGAAAGTAGGCTTCTGCCATGTATGCAAGTTTATATCTTTTCCTCCTAATGTCTTTATCATGAACATCTTTATGATATTAGACTTTTGGAAAGAATGGATTTTAATGGTTATCACATTTTCCACATCATCCAGTCATTTATCAAACAAATTTAAGACAGCTTCATTCTTCTACACATTCATTCTTGATGTCATCCTTTATCCTCTCTCTCAAAGCACTCTGCTCTATCAACAAAACTTACCAGTACTATATCAAAATGTATCCTGAATTTCACTATCCATTATAGCTAGTCAATCTATCCAACCCATTATCATTTCTTGCCTGAATGATTGAAAGTCTCTTGACTGGTTTTCCTCTTTCCAACTTTAACTATCTGCAGTTTGTTCTCCCTACAACAGTCACATCATCTTTTGAAATATAAGCCAGATCATGTTACTTCATTCACCCTTACATGACGCCTTTTGTGTACAGAGTAAGACTTAAGTCTTTCCCCGGTCTACACGCCCTAACTTCTCTTGCCCCTCTCTATGTCCATCTTGCCATGCTTCTTTCCCTCCAGCTACTCCAGCCACACTGACCTTCCATCTTAGGCTCATTGCGCTCTGCACAGCCCCTTTGCCTGCAATGCCTTTTCCACTAAATATCCATAATCTGCTCTAGCCTAGTTAGTTCAGATTTTATATTTCCTTTCCAGACTACACTTTCTAAAATAGTCCCTATTTCCAACA